AATTTAAAAGAGAGAGAGAAAATATATAGAGCCTCTTTTCTCAGAATTAAAACATGTGTTATACCTGTTAACATCAAATCTTGTGGGTCTCTATCCTGCCTTCTTTATTCATTTCTCAAATCCATTGCAACTATGACTTCACTGGTCCTGTTAAAACTGAAGGTGAAGAGGACACCCAACCATGCTGCTCCAGGTCTTCAGTGCCAAAGATAAAATTCAATTCTTTCAGCTGGCACTAAGAATTTGTTATAATCTGGATCCTAGCTACATCCTTAGACTTGGGATGTAGCCATGCTCCTTCACACAATCTGCTCAAAGTGAACTACGTAACCTTTAAAGCTAAACACCAGCACAGTTTGAACATTGTTCTTCAAAGTTGGTGATTTATTCTGCTTTCTGCTTAGCGATTCACCATCCTATTCTTATTAACTAATCCTAATTAAACCTGTAATTCAGTTCCGAGATCAAATTATGTCTCCTGCCTGTGGTCTTCTTCGGACATGAGTACTCACTTTCTTCTCTTTAAATATGTAAGAGATTACCAAGTACCCAATGCATATTCTAAGAAATTAATATGTAATTTAGCCATTGACATGTTTTCATCTAAACAATTTGTAGGAGATATGATCCAGAGAAAGACGTATATGTCCCTAAGGAGCTATACATTGTCGTTTCATGTTCAGTTGGTGACAAAGTAAATGGCGCAGTGATTTTCATGACACAAAATTTAACAAAAATGTTTGCATATTATTTCAATATAAGTGAAGAATAAATGAAATGTTAGTAAGGTCAAAAAGAGCTGAATATTTTATCACATAAAAAAGAAATTATTCCCTTCCTTTCTTCTGTACTTCTTTTCTTCCGTTCTAGGAGTTTGATCATTAAGTAATTGTGATTCTATCATATTTTTCACAGCACAGCTTTTTAGAGAATACCAGATCCTGATTTTACCTAATTATTTGGTATTATAAAGTATTTGAATTATTTAGGTTGGGTTTTATTTGTTTGTTTATTTAGGGGGGGACACAGTTTTGAATTGTCGCTACTTTCAAATTATGACAGTCTACCAGAAACCAAAAAGAACTGCCTTTTTCAGGAAAATTATCACCTGCCTAAGAAATGTTAAATCAGACTTTGCAGATTTTTCTTTTTCTTTTTTTTAAGTTTGTTTATATTCACCATAAAGCACATGCACATGCATTAGAGAAAAAGAAAGCGAGACAGAAAAGCACCCTGGATACTGTCTGGCCACATGGTGATGCTCTTCTTTCAGCTTTACAGCTTATCAGCGTCTTGGGCATGAGTGCATACCTGGTGTGTTTCAGGTCAGCCTAATCAAAGACCTGAACCTGTGGTTGACGGTGTGGTTTCCAGCATTGCAGGCCATGGTATGGACTGTACCACCTAGACAAGACTTTCAAAAAAAATAAATTTAGAATGAAGAAGTGACCAACTCAGCTTTCAAGAGGGGATAGTTCTCAGAAGAAGGAAGTTGAAAGGAGAACAAAAGAGTTTTCTAGTATTTTTTCCCTTGTTTGATCTTTAGAGGGTGACTGAATCATGTTCCTTTAAACTGATAACTTTAACTTCAGAAATACTTTCTGATTTGCTAATGGTATTATGTCAATCTTGAAATGAGAAAATGTGGGGCCAGCACATGGCATGATGGTTAAGGTGGACGTATCCCACATGATCAACAAGGCAGTTTGAGTCCCAGACCCAGTGACTTGAAAAACACGCTGGGCACGTGTACTTGTGTGTCCAAAATCCCAAGAGGAGGATGAAGAAGACAGATGGTATTGGTGATGGCATGGCCACCACCACTAACCTCCACCCCAAAGGGAAGATTCTCACTCTCTCTCAGTTCCTCTGTATCTTTCTGGTGACTGCACCTGCCCTGTAACAAATAAGAAAAAAATTTAAAAGAGAGAGAGAAAATATATAGAGCCTCTTTTCTCAGAATTAAAACATGTGTTATACCTGTTAACATCAAATCTTGTGGGTCTCTATCCTGCCTTCTTTATTCATTTCTCAAATCCATTGCAACTATGACTTCACTGGTCCTGTTAAAACTGAAGGTGAAGAGGACACCCAACCATGCTGCTCCAGGTCTTCAGTGCCAAAGATAAAATTCAATTCTTTCAGCTGGCACTAAGAATTTGTTATAATCTGGATCCTAGCTACATCCTTAGACTTGGGATGTAGCCATGCTCCTTCACACAATCTGCTCAAAGTGAACTACGTAACCTTTAAAGCTAAACACCAGCACAGTTTGAACATTGTTCTTCAAAGTTGGTGATTTATTCTGCTTTCTGCTTAGCGATTCACCATCCTATTCTTATTAACTAATCCTAATTAAACCTGTAATTCAGTTCCGAGATCAAATTATGTCTCCTGCCTGTGGTCTTCTTCGGACATGAGTACTCACTTTCTTCTCTTTAAATATGTAAGAGATTACCAAGTACCCAATGCATATTCTAAGAAATTAATATGTAATTTAGCCATTGACATGTTTTCATCTAAACAATTTGTAGGAGATATGATCCAGAGAAAGACGTATATGTCCCTAAGGAGCTATACATTGTCGTTTCATGTTCAGTTGGTGACAAAGTAAATGGCGCAGTGATTTTCATGACACAAAATTTAACAAAAATGTTTGCATATTATTTCAATATAAGTGAAGAATAAATGAAATGTTAGTAAGGTCAAAAAGAGCTGAATATTTTATCACATAAAAAAGAAATTATTCCCTTCCTTTCTTCTGTACTTCTTTTCTTCCGTTCTAGGAGTTTGATCATTAAGTAATTGTGATTCTATCATATTTTTCACAGCACAGCTTTTTAGAGAATACCAGATCCTGATTTTACCTAATTATTTGGTATTATAAAGTATTTGAATTATTTAGGTTGGGTTTTATTTGTTTGTTTATTTAGGGGGGGACACAGTTTTGAATTGTCGCTACTTTCAAATTATGACAGTCTACCAGAAACCAAAAAGAACTGCCTTTTTCAGGAAAATTATCACCTGCCTAAGAAATGTTAAATCAGACTTTGCAGATTTTTCTTTTTCTTTTTTTTAAGTTTGTTTATATTCACCATAAAGCACATGCACATGCATTAGAGAAAAAGAAAGCGAGACAGAAAAGCACCCTGGATACTGTCTGGCCACATGGTGATGCTCTTCTTTCAGCTTTACAGCTTATCAGCGTCTTGGGCATGAGTGCATACCTGGTGTGTTTCAGGTCAGCCTAATCAAAGACCTGAACCTGTGGTTGACGGTGTGGTTTCCAGCATTGCAGGCCATGGTATGGACTGTACCACCTAGACAAGACTTTCAAAAAAAATAAATTTAGAATGAAGAAGTGACCAACTCAGCTTTCAAGAGGGGATAGTTCTCAGAAGAAGGAAGTTGAAAGGAGAACAAAAGAGTTTTCTAGTATTTTTTCCCTTGTTTGATCTTTAGAGGGTGACTGAATCATGTTCCTTTAAACTGATAACTTTAACTTCAGAAATACTTTCTGATTTGTTATAATGTATCAGAAAGCACATTACAAATCTGAAATAAATTTATTTTTTTTAGGGACCAGCAGGTAGGGGGTGGTTAAGGTGTTGAACTCCCACATGGTCAACTTGGTTTGAATCCTGGACCTGGGGGCTTGAAAATCACCTTAGTATGTGTGCAACATGCCCAAAATCTTGAGAGGAGGATAGAAGAGAAGCAATTACAGCATGGCCATTCCCCCTGGGGGTGATTACTCACTTTCCCTCTCTCTGTCCCTCTTTGTCTGTCCCCAGAGAGTACGCATGCCCTATGGCAAAATCCAAAGAAGAAAAAAAGAAAGATCTTTGAGATCATGCACACCACTCTTTCTTTTCAGTTGGTAGAAAGTTTATCAAGAAACATGTATTGTGTACCAGTTGTGTTCCAAAGGGAGTGTGGCATTTACAGGTATTCAAAGAATAGGGCAGGACAGAAATTGCATTTGTGAAGCTCACTGTCTGACTGGGTGAAAGGCACTTAGACAACTTCCAGGTAATACTATTTAAGGTCTGCAAGATGGTTAGAGAAAAAACAATAGCAGATTGCAGAAATAAGAGCAGACAGGGAATTCCATGAGAGTAGATGATAGGAAGTGGAGGAGTCACGGAGAGCTCTGTGTCCTTCAGCTCATTATTATTAATAGCTCCCGCAGAACCTGTCACTGTGCTGTGTTGACAGGGAGTGATTTGTAGATATCGGTCACTGGTATTTTAATGAAGTACTCATTTCTTTTTGTGTTCAAAATCATATTCATTTTTTCTATTGTCCAAAATCAGTATGGAAATTAGCATAATTTGCTGAATGTTTTATATTCCACATGATTTTGCATCAGGTATAATAATGGTATTTCCAATGTAAGTCCCTTAGTCATCCTAACTTTAGAAACGCTTGGATGAGATTAGGAAGTGATCATCATTTCCATTTATTATACTTTGCATGTAACGAGCTTTAGCTATTAACTCTAATTTGCTTCTCATCGTATTCATCAAAGGCAAACTATTTAGAAACTAAAACATCTCTGTCAGTTAGAATTTTAATGAATTAAGATGAAATGAGACAGTGTTAATTGGCAGTTGTTGCTGCAGGGTAGGTTTCTAGATCTTGTAAGTGAAACCAATTCATTTCTCTATCAGGGTTAATTTGTTTGATTTAATTTTAAGGGTACACTGAATATTTCCCCAAACTATTCGTATTTATTTTCAGCATTGGAGAGTGGTTTAGTTCTGTTGGTCTTATATCTGGATTCTCAGTTCCATCTGAAATTGACTTAGTGAGATTGTTAATAAATCATTGGTTTTAAATAGCATTTGTATTACTGACTAAATACACACTCCAACATACACACACACACACAAAAACAAGAATTAAAAAGACTTTTTATTTAAAGTGCTTAAAAACCTTCTGATTATAATCAATTTAGACTAAGAATTCCTTTCCTCTGTTCTTTCTGTTTTCTTCAGATATCAATGAATGTGAAGCTGAGCCATGCAAAAATGGGGGAATATGTACAGACCTCGTGGCTAACTATTCCTGTGAGTGCCCTGGTGAATTTATGGGAAGAAATTGTCAATACAGTAAGTATTTACATGGGTGTATATGATTTTATTTATAAAACCTCCATTTATTTTGGAATATGGGCCAAAATCAATACCATTTGCTTCTAGTGTGTAATTAATTGAAATGGCACCTCGCGTGTTTGTTCTTAGTAGTGTGCTCACGTTCTCCAGGATATGTGTCCCTAGTGCACCCTACGCACAGGGACAGTATCTTGTGACCTGAAAAGAATGGCAACTGTTCCTCAGTCATTCAAGCCCATTTCTCCCTCCTGTGAATCCCATTTTGGTTTTTGAATGTGTACATGATCTAAGTTGCTACCACCAGAGCGGTAAATTCAGGGCCCTACAACCAGGTGGCCTCCATCACAGATGAAAGGTGGACATAAGAGAGGATTCAGTTCATCTGTCACATTAGAAAAAATGTGAATGTTGTTCATTTGTGGTGTTGAAAACCTAAGACAAGAGGATCTTGAGATGATGGATCAATGATACCGTAATTTTCCTGAGTGTTTACAAAGAGGCAGAAAACACCACTCTAAAAAACAAACAAACGGATAAAAGGTAATACCAGGACTAGAGACGATGGCATGGGACCGCTGGCCCAAACATTCTAATGACACTAAAGCTTTAACTTAATAATTATTAGGCACTTATAGAGACTTTATAGTGCTACCACTTTGATGTACATTATATTATCTGAGTGGGGCAACAGCGTTTTGCAAGTTCAGAATGCAGATACAAATAAGAATTCAGATGCAGAAGTTGAGACACACATGTGATGCGGTTTGTCCAAGTAGTCACAGCTGGTTAATGATCGAAGCAGGACTAGAAGGAATTCAGTCTCTGATTCTCAGTTTAGTGTATATTCCTCTAAATCAAGATGCTTCTTCACACAGAGATGAACAAGATAAACATAAGCACCCACCACGTTCCTCTCTTACACAAATGCACACACATACCACACCTGGATTTTCTTCTTTAGCCATAGAAAATATTCTTTTTCTCACTTTTTCTCTCACCCTTTCTCTCTGATCATGATCTTTATTAAGTAAAATAGGGAATACAGCTGAATAATTTATGTATATGAACAAAATAATGATAAAAATGGGATGCTCATTACATTATTCCTGAAAACCTTGATCAAAATAATTGCATCTCGAGGCCAGCAGATGGCATAGTAGATACATCACTGGGCTCCCACATGGCTGACTGCAGTTCGAGTCTCAGACCTGGTGGCTTGAAACTTACTCCAGGTGTGTGTGTGCATGCACGCCCAGTACCCCAGAATGGTAATGGAGGAGACGGGATTGTGGCGTGGTCATCACCCCAGGGATCATTTCTCACTTTCTATCTCTCTGTCTCTCTCTCTGTGTCTCTCCAGTAAGCACATGCGTTCTATATAAAAAAAAATCTCTCTAATAATTAAGTAAAATAAAACTCTTGCATTGGGAAAAAATATTTTTTAAGCTTAAAATACAAGTACCTTGAGCATGGGTTGATGAAGAAAGCCACAGGGTGCAGATAGACAGAAAGAATAGGCTGAGTAAGTAGGTTGGCCATACAACCCAATAAACCAGTAGCAATGAAACCAGATATCCTGGGTACCTTCCCATAAATCATTCAACTAATCGCCCGCAAGGTTAACTCAAACTCTGATTTAGTTGGTTCTCGGCCTGCACCAGCCACAGAATTTGGATATTTTGATTTTTTGTTTCTTGGGACTTGAAGATAGCTGCCTAGTCAACACTGGAAATTGTGCTAGAAAGCACCTCCACAGTGCCTGTAAAAGTACACTTTATTAATGTGATGAAGAATAAAAAACTGATGTCAGTAATTGTTTCATTATCATTCAGTGGTAATAGAGATCTAGTGCCAGAATGGAAAACCTTCCAGACAGCAGTGGAACTTTGGAAGAACTGAATACAGTTTTTGGATAGAGCAGGTACAGGCATGATGAGGCCAAATGACCCACATGAGGCCTGGCCAAGGGACCAATTAGAGGGCAAGACCTTCCATTTTCCTAAAAAAACTGTCTAGGGCACATGTCATGAGAACAGTGGCTGGGGAAAGGATGACTGCAGTGGTGAAGCCCTAACTCTCTGAATGAGCAAAAAGTGTGTCTGAGGCTGTAGGCTTCCTGGAAGAGGAAACCAAAGACATGGAGAAATAAGGCATGGGAGAATTGGGTCAGAGACTAGAGTCAGTAGGTTGGCAGTGAGAAGATTAAGAGGTGGACATTAAGGCAGTGGAAGAAGAGATTCTTTTGCCTCCCCATACTGACCAAGGAGCAACTGGACAGCCAGTTGGATGCCTACATGTTGGAAACTGAGGAATACCTGGATTTGATCTGGATGTTAAAATCAATAACTAAAGACTGTCCATCCTCCCATGGGAAGCTTTTCCTGAAGTAACCATACTAGAAAATACCCTTGAAAAGAAAGAATCCTGGGACCAGCAGTTAGTGCAATGACTGTGTCAGTGAACTCCCATGTAGGCGACCACAATTCGAGTCCTGGACCTGGTGGCTTAAACTCACCCTGGGCGCGTGTGCATGCATACCCAAGATACTGAGAAGAGAATGGAGGAGAAGGGATTGCGGTGTGACCATCCCCCCTGGGGGGTGATTTCTCTATATCTTTCTGTCTGTCTCTGTCTTTCTGGTGAGCGCACACACCCTATAGCAAAAACCTCTCCAATAGAAAAAAAAGAGAGTCCTGATTGATTATGGAAGGTTCTACTGAAATAAACTGTTAACTATCATCAGTTTGTGACTGTGTGTCATCAAATTCAGTTTTGTATTATTTTTATTAAAGCCCCTTTTTAAACTTGGTTTTATGTTTACATAGTATTTCTATGTAAATGCAGACTTCTCTTTGAACATGAGGGAGGTGTCTCCCTTAACCTGTCATATACACTTGACATTCTGATATTTATTTCCTCTGTTCATCTCTGTGCCCTGACAAACAGATCAGAGTCACTTGGGGTACACTCTAAAATATGTTTCTCTTAAGGTGTTTCTCTTTATTTTGTTGATTTGTGAGATTGTAAAATAAATTTAAAATCTTTGTTCTCCCTATTATTTATTTATTTATTTATTTATTTATTTATTTATTTGTGGCCTCTTCATGGTTTAGTGAGAAAGTGCACTCTGATACACTGGTGATTTAATTCTTCACACTGAAAACTTTGAGAACTCATGTGTTACAGGGGCATGCAGAAACACCTGTAGGTTCCAAGAATTCTAAGCTGCTTGAAATTAGGATTTGGGGAGCTGACATTCTGTAGATTATAATCTGTGTGCTGGTGGACGATTGACAAACTTTCCTTCAGATGTCGAGATATGTCTGAGAGCTACCAATGACCCTGCTCACATATGCAGTAATGCCAGAGAAGCCATTTATTTTGGTAGCTATGATATTTCAGAATGGACAGGTAGGAGATAATGAAACAGACTTACTCACTGGATGGGGTCAGAGACATCTGTAATAGTATTCTTGTGTTCAAGTCTAAGTTGTCTTCCTTTCACGTTTGGACTCCTACACTCTAGTTGCTTCACTTGTACCATTTCTTTCCAATTTATATAAAAGGTTCATGTATTTTAATGAAATTTCACATTTCTGATCCATTTAAAAATGAAAACATTCTCAATGCCCACCCCCCATAACAAATAATAGAAGCCATTGCAAAGAAATAGAACTGACTAAAAAGATAAAATACCTGTACAAACAGAAAAATATAAAAGACAAAAATAAACTGAGGAAATACTTACAATAAACCTGGAAGGCAAATATATCGATTGTCCTTAATTTATTATATATTTCAAGTCAATGAAATGAATCAGAACAGAAAAGGAGTAACAAAATCTTTCCTCAAGGAAGTAATTTAAGACTGATTCTATTGTAGTTGAGTTGTGCTCTACTTTTATACCTTATTTTGATTTTTCAAAGACAGGCATGTATTATCTTAATAATATAAAAACAATAATTACATTTAAATGTTTTATTAACACGAGAGGTATAGATACGCGATAAAAAAGAATGGGACTGATTATGCGTGTCCCTCTGCCTCTTCCTTTGCCTTGTATTCAGTTCCTGTATTTGTCCATTATTTTGTTGCTAAACAGAAAAATCTTAGACCGGTGACTTATAAAGAATAGATATTCATTTTGTTCATGATTCTGGTAGCTGGAAAGCCCAAAGTGTGGAGCTGGCAGCAGGCTGACCTCTGGAGCTATATCAACATGGTTGCTCTGCCAGGAAGCGGGCACATGCAGAGAGAGGAAACAGAATTCCCAATTTCCGCTGTTGCCTTTCCTATACTCCCAGCCTACTGAGTGGTGCTTTCCTGCCCCCCTCACAGGCTCCTACTCCTAAAAGTCTTCTACTTCCCAAAGCCATTAACCTAGAGACCACACTTCCACAACATGAAACTTTGGTAGACACACCATTATCCAAACTATAACACTCCTCTTATTTCAGAAGCAGAATGTGGGAGATGCAGAAAAACTTGGAAAGGAGATAAACTGAAAAGGATAAATGCTAAATTGAAGCAGAGGAGAGCTGGCAAGCTTTAGAAGAAATGGAAAAGAAAAAGGAGAAAGGAAAGTGAGAGAACTCTTTAAACCATGGCCTCATGGTAAACATGACTCTATAGAGAGCTCTGAATTACACATACACATAACACAGACAAGCCCATATTCATGCTAAACGTGGCTCTATAGGAAGCTCTGAATTTCACACTAACACATTCCCACACTCAGGGAGGAAATTTTTCCTTAATCATGGAGAGAAAATTATAAAGCAAAGAAGGTATGAAAAAGCTTTTCAAGACACAAAAGCTCCCTCTCTTTTTGGGAGAGATTTTTGCTGTAGGGCATGTTTACTCACTAGAGAGACAGAAAGTGAGAAATCACACACACACACACACACACACACACCCCCCCAAGGAGGGATGGCCATGTCGCAATCCCTCTCCTTCATTATCCTCTAGGGATCTTAGGACACACACACTCACACCTG